CAGAGCAGATTGTCACCCCATTTACAGATGCAGAGTCGAGGTTCAGAGAGGCCAGGCCCCTTGTCCCAGGGCACAGCCATCTGTCATTTGAGGCCTCCTGCATTGTGGAAGCTCTGACTTTTCCCTCACTGATTCTGAGACACATGTCCTCCCTTCCCCCATTTTAAAGTTTCTAAAATTGGATTGTGTCTGACAAATGATGCCAAAGAAATTTTCAGGCCACCAAGCTGGGCAGTAAAGTGATGTGATTGTTACTGGCAATGCCCATGTGTAGAAGGTGTCCATTCATCTGAGCGTTAATTAAATTGATAGCATTACTCTGGTGACATTTCATCTTAATTTGGACCCCTGAATGGTGCTTTAAATGCCTTTGGAGGGGCCGGCCCGGTGGCACAAGCGGTTAAGTGCGCGCGATCCACTGTGGCAGCCTGGGGTTCGCCGGTTCAGATCCCGGGCACACACCAACGCACTGCTTGGCAAGCCATGCTGCGGCAGTGTCCCATATAAAGTGGAGGAAGATGGGCACAAATGTTAGCCCAGGGCCAGTCTTCCTCAGCAAAAAAAAAAAAAAAAAGGAGGATTGGCGGATGTTAGCACAGGGCTGATCTCCTCACAAAAAAAATAAATAAATAAAATAAATGCCTTTGGAAAGATCACGAGAGTCTCCTGGTGCAGGCTGCCCTCCTGCTCTGGGCTCCCCCGACCTCTTGGGACAGCCCTCTGGACCACCAGGTTCCCCTCCCTGCTGCCCCATCTTCCCTGGACATTGCTCACCCCGCCCCCAACAACCAGCTCCCCCCTTCCTTCCAGAGCTTTTCCTTAGGTTAAAGGTCACATGGTCCAGGAAGCCTGTCCTTTTTCATCTTTTTCATCTGAGACTGTCCTCAGGGTCCAGTTCAGGGCCTGGTACATAGTAAGTGCTTAGTATAAGTTTGTGGAAGGAGAGAGGGAGGGGGCCCAGAGCCAGGGTCCCTCAGGGAGCCTCCCCTCGACCTCCCAGACAAAGGTTGCTGCTCCCTTCTCAGCTCTCCCAGTGAGCGCCCACTGAAGCCCTTACACACTGCTGTGGTCTGAATGTTGTGTCCCCCCAGATTCATATGCTGAAATGCTAACTCTCAAGGAGACAGTATTAGGAGGTGAGGCCTTTGGGAGGTGGTAAGGTCGCGGGATTAGTGCCTTTTTAGAGGAGGCCCAGGGTTGGGGGTGGGGGTGGGGGGGCATGTGGCTCTGCCCATGCCTGCCTCCCCCTTGGCCTGCCCTCCTGAGGCCCCTGCCACCTTCCACAGCAAGCAACCTGCTTCATCCTGCAGCCTGGGAACTGGAGCCCTCCTCCCACCCTTCCCCCTGACACAACTAACTCTCACCTTCCTTCCAGACGGCTTCCACCCCATAGGGCTGTCCTCTCTGGGCAGCAAAGCATGGTGGCAAGAAGCCAATTTTGGGGTCAGACCTAGGGATGGGGTAAGTTCACCAAGGTTCATTCAGTACCTTCTGTGTGCCAGGCATGGTGACCTGGGACAAGTCCCTGAGCCTCTCTGAGCCTCAGTTTACCAATCTGAACCCAGGCTCAACACACATAACCCCCTAGGAGTGCCGTGTGGATTTACCAATGTGTGTAAAATGCCCAGCATGCTCCAGGCTGTCAGCAAGTGCTGGTCTCCTGCCCTCTTCTCTCTCTCTTGAGATCTTTGTTCATATGCAAAAGAACAACCGAGGGAAGGTGGGACCGGCATTACTCACTGGAGGAACTGAGGCCCGGAGAGGACACATGACTTGCCCAGGGGAACGCCTCGAGTGGGTCATGGGGCCCGTGTTCCCAGGCTTCCCAGTATCCAGCTCCCAGCCCAACCCTGGGACAGACAGGCTGAGTGGATGTCCCCCCCAGTTGTTGGAATCCCTTGACCCCAGCGGCACAAACACAGGCCCATGGGGCGCACGTACGGTCAGCTTTATTTCTTTCCATGCCAAGGAATACAGGGCTGTGAACTGGTGAGGGCGGTGCCGGGATGGTGAGGGAGAGTGCTTGCTGCTCCCTGTGGGACGTGGGGAGAGGCTGGGTCAGCGCCCTAAGCCGGGGTGCCACTGTGTTCATGCAGCCAGTGGCTGGACGTAGATGGAGCTGGGACGGCAGGGCCACTGTTCCTTCCAGTGTTCCTTCCACGAGGCCTGGGGGAACCAGGCTGCCAGTGGGCGGGGTGGCGGGGCCCTCCCTCCCAGTCTTGCCTCTGAAGGGTTTCTCGTCCTCAGGCCTGTGCTCCTTTCTGCCTGAGGGGCCGGGATCTTGGGGCTTCTGCTCCTTCCACACACCCCCAGGCCTCTGAGCTCCGTCCTTGGCACTGAACTCTCAAGTCGTTCTTGCCAAATGGAAGGATGTTCCAGCTGTGCCTGTTCCTGCGGCTCTGCTGGTGGCTTCTGTCCTTCTCGACTGTTCTGGGTTTTGAGTGTGAACGAGTGTGTGTATGTGTGCGTGTGACCTGGGGGGGGGGCAGGTCTGGGTGTGTGACGATCCCAGTGCACTCAGAGGCCACAGTCGAGACCAGGCCTAAACTGTCTGCTCATTTCTCTCTTCTCCCTGGGGTGCTGAAGCTGGGAAGCCCTGGGGCCTGCTGGGAGACCGCAGACTCATGATCCCTCCTCCCAGAGCTGGGGCCTGTGACGACTAACCAGTTCCATAGACCTCACATCTCCCCTGGCCTGACCCGACCTCAAAAGTGACACAAATGCTCTGGGCTCACCCCTACCCTCCCAGACAAACAGAGGCATGTTTATTTAGGCCTCAAACGTCCCATAAAGCAAACCCAGCCGGCCCCTCCTTTAGGGTGGGGAGAGGTTGGAGTTTATTCCCCAGGTGGGGGACTGACGCAGGAGCACCAGCCCAAGAGGATCCACCCCGTGCCCCGGGCTCTGTGCCCCTCCCCTGTCACACAGGCCCTACTAGAAGGCTCGGAGCTGGGGACTCAGAGCTACTCCCTCCCGGCAGACAGAGCCTGTGTGCTAACAGGCTCCCTCCCAGGAGCCTCTGAGGCATGTGGGGGAGGTGGACAGGGGCCCTGGGAGGAGGCACGAGGGTCCTGAACAGGAGCAGGGGAAACATGCTTTGCCAACCGGTGGCCAGTCTGGCTGTGGCTGGGAACCTGCCCTCCCATCGAGCCCAGTAACCCTGGCTGCTAGGCAGGGCCTCCAAGGGTGGGAAACCCGCAGCAGCCCTCTCCGAGGACCTGGGAGCTGAAGCTGGCAGGGGAGGCGGGAGCAGGAGAGGGCCCTGTGGGCAGAGCCTGTACCAGGGAGAAGCCTGGGGAGAATCCCGGGGCCAAAAGCCAGGCAGGAGCCCGAGGGGCCCTGCTTGGTTCCTTGCAGGTGTCCAATTAGGTCCTGAGACAGGCCATGATGTCCAGCCCCTGCCTCTGGGCATGTGTGTGTATTCCCAAACCCCAGGCCCCTAACTCTCCTGTACACTGGACACTTCAGCCAAGCTCTTCCCTCTGTCTTGGAACTCTCTAGACTCAATAAACAATAAACTTCATAAAAACTCTCCGGCCCGCTCCCCTACAGGCAATACAAACACTGCTAAGAGCCTGGGAGCCCATGGGAAGGCCCCCCAGGGTTGGTCCCACAGCCCCCTCCAGGGAAACCCTCCGCTGTGTGTGGAGGGCCAGAGGCACAGGGTGAGGCGCAAAGCTTCAGATGCAGCTGGGCTGGGAGCCGGAGCCTGGGCCCCGCCTGAGCCACTCTGCATGGGGACCTGAGCCACTCTGCA